CCTCTCTGTCTCTCCTTCCTGGCCACCACAAGGGAAGCAGTTTCTCCTGCCCCAAGTCTTCATCATGATGGTCTGCCTTGTCACAGGCAGAAAGGCAACAAAGCCCAGTAACCATGGAATGAAACCTCTGAAATCATGAGCCAAGTTGTTTATCTCAAGAATTTTGTTACAGTGATGGAAAGCTAACCAACACAGACTCTAAGTTTAGAGGTCACTGTCATACTTTACTCATTTGGTGTTCACCACGCCTGTGAATAGTTGTCCCCACATGCAGAGAGGGAAGCTGGGCATACTGAGAATGACTTGCCCTAAGTCACATGGCCCAGTAAGTGGCAGAGCAAAGATTCAGACCCACACTGCCCGGGTCCAGAGTCCAGCTCTTAACCACCAGCCTAAATTGCATGGCAGAGCCATGTCACCTGGGTGTGGCCAGCCTAGTCCAGTTATTCTTTCTTCTAGAAACAAGAACCATGAGCATCAGCATGAATCACACAAAGATCGACGAGCACTGTTGCAGTAGATTTCTTCCTTTGCCAGTGGTTGGCGATTATTGTATATCTCCCACTTGCTTATAATCCTGGCGCTGACCTGGGTCTAAGCTGATTCTCAAGTGTTCATTACGGCCTACAGGTCACTGTATGTGTTGCCTGTAAACTCTATTTGAACTTCAGTTAGAATTGGTTTCAGTTCATGCCACCAGCAGCCCTAACACATATAGACATCAGCAGAGTTGCCTCCAACACATGGCAGAAATGAGGGGCTTGGTGCTTCTTGGCTGTGCTAATATTTGGGAAGCCAAAGGAAGTTTGGATGTGGGGGACAGGGTTTGTACAAGGGGAGGGAACACTCAAGGCAAGATGCAAGTCAAATATGTCAGGACCCCTAGGGTGCATATTTTCATCTCAATCACTGGAAAAAAAATTGGTTTGGGCTCCTACCTAACACCTTCTCCTTCTTCCCTTGGATATGAAGATTGAATGCTTGCAGGGAGCAGACCGCCAGTGGTGTCTCACACAGGGTGCCGACAGACCTCAAAGTTAATCCGCTCTCTGATCTAAGC